AAAAACTTACATAAGACTTGCGTAGGATCTTACATCAGCACCACACGTGCAAATATAGATGCAGCCACCAAAACGATTCAAAACGAACTTTCTCTCTAGAATTCCCCGTCTATTTTAAATTTCCTTTTCAGCCCACCTCAAAGTCCTTTTCCTACATCGCACCAATTAGTCAAAGGACTTTTTACAAGATGGAATTTTCTACCATGTTTCCTTTTTTTTTTTTTTTTGAACAATTCGACCATGTTTCCTTAATCAACCGGTGGAAAAAGAGTATTATTTATTATATTTTTTTATTATTAATTTTTATATATAAGATAAAAAATTAATTTTAATTTTATTAATTAAAAATCCTTATAACAATTTTTTTTTACTACTCTATTAGTATTTGGAAGTTTTATTAAATCTTAATTATTTTAAAATTAACTCACGTCAACACATATTTTTCTGTTTAAAAAGCTTAAATTTAAGAATTTACTTAAAAGAAAATTGAATTCTTTTTAAAAATTTTCACTTGCTAAATCAATAAAACGATATAATTTTACTATTTTTTTTCTCTTTTATTTTTTAAAAATTCAGTTGATAAATATTAATTTCTAGTTTTAATTAATAGAAGAAGTATAAGTGCCCTACCATATTAATAAAAATAATAATTACTTTCTAAATATAATAATATTAATTAGGAAATTAATTAGAGCTCTACCATATTCGGATAAATAACCCATGAGCAAAATGCCACCCACTTTCCATCGAATACCCTTCCCCTCTGTATAAAATTCTATCTTTCCGCTTGCCCTTTCCTCCATACCTACCCAAAATTAAACAGCCTTCTGAATTGTGACTCTATCCAGAACTATTTCTATGGCGGAAACAAAGAAAACCCATGTTGCTGTCCTACCTACTCCTGGGATGGGTCATCTCATTCCTCTCGTTGAGTTGGCGAAGCGACTTGTTCGCCTCCACAACATCTCTGTCACATTCATCATCCCTACCAACGGACCTCCCTCCAAAGCCCAGAAGTCAGTTTTTGACTCTCTCCCTGCTTCAATAGACTCTGTTTTTCTCCCTCCGGTTAACTTGGGTGACGTTTCCGAGGACACCAAAATCGAAACTCTAATTTCCCTCACCATCGTTCACTCCCTTCCGTTGCTTCGCGACGTCTTGAAGTCGTTGGCGGAGAAGACCCGGTTAGTGAGCTTGGTCGTCGATCTTTTCGGCACCGACGTGTTTGATGTCGCCAGAGAATTCAACATTTCACCCTACATTTTTTTCCCATCCACGGCGATGGCCTTGTCTCTGTTTCTTTATCTGCCTAAACTCGACGAAACGGTGCCGGTCGAGTATAGAGACTTGACGGAACCGGTGAAGATACCCGGATGCATACCGATTCACGGCAAGGAATTACTCGACCCCGTTCAAGACCGTAAAAACGAAGCCTACAAATGGGTCCTTCACCACACCAAAAGGTATAGATTAGCCGGCGGAATCATGGTCAATAGCTTCAAGGAATTGGAAGCAGGGGCGATAAAAGCTCTGCAAGAGAAAGAACCGGGTAAGACACCCGTTTACCCGGTCGGACCGCTCGTCAATGTGGATCCTAGTACCAAAGCTGATGCGGCCGAGTGTCTGACGTGGCTGGACGGACAGCCACATGGCTCTGTTCTATATGTGTCGTTCGGGAGCGGCGGGACCCTGTCGTCCGAGCAGGTCGATGAGTTGGCTCTTGGACTGGAGATGAGCGAGCAGAGATTTTTGTGGGTCGTGAGGAGCCCAAATGACAAGGTGGCCAGCGCTACATATTTCAGCGTAAACAGTCGAATGGATCCTTTTGATTTTCTACCCAAGGGCTTTTTGGAGCGGACCAAGGGGAGGGGCTTGGTTGTGTCGTCATGGGCACCACAGGCCCAGGTGCTGAGCCACGGCTCCACCGGTGGGTTCCTCACGCATTGTGGGTGGAACTCAACCTTAGAGAGCGTCGTGAACGGCGTGCCGGTTATTGTTTGGCCGCTCTACGCCGAGCAGAAGATGAACGCCGTGATGCTGACGGAGGACATAAAGGTAGCATTGAGACCAAAAGCCAACGAAAATGGGGTGGTGGGCCGGGAGGAGATTGCCAGAGTAGTGAAAGGTTTAATGGAAGGTGAAGAAGGAAAGAAGGTCCGTTACAGAATGAAGGACTTGAAGGAAGCCGCCGCAAAGGTACTTAGCCACGACGGCTCCTCCACCAAGGCTCTGGCGGATGTGGTTCACAAGTGGCAAAATTGTTAGACCGTATCTGTCTCTATGATTTCCGTATCCATTTTCCTTTTTTTTCTTTTTTAACTTCTTATGTTTCTCAGTGTAGACTAATTAAGGTCGTCTCATGTGAATGTGACTAATTAGGTCTATGTGCATTTGGTTGTGATTATGGGTACTAATGGAAGTGTCAAGTTATTAAAATTATGTTAAAAAAATATTGATTCTATTTAACTTAATTATATAATATAATTGATAT